TTTAACGTGTTATTTTCTGTATCCAGCTACTAAAGAGCAGTGTGAGTGTCTACCCTATACAACGGAGCTATTGAACACTGCTTTTTGAAACCTGCACGAAGCGCTATAAGTTGTCTTCATTGCATTTTGTTGTTTTGTTAGAATAATTCAGTGGAGAGAAAACCGCCACGTTACTCGCTAGTGTGAAGACTGTGACTGTGGGCAATACCCCGATCGTAACTCGTTTAACGTGTTTTCGTAAAACGTAATGTCGTAGTGTGGGTCCAGCTCTTGGGTCAATGATCCACGACAAGCAAAGAGGTAGATATGGCATAGTCTGTACAAACGGTAGGGTGGTTATCCCGTTTATTACTCCAACAAATTTATAAGAGATTAGACTTACGCAGTGGTTATTTAACCGTATACGCTTCTATGATTAAACGGGGCTACAAATGTGTCGAAATAAATGGGATTTGAACTTAAACGTTTTCTAGATAGCTAAACCTTATGGGATTCGAACGTAATGTTGATTACGTCATAAATATACTAGCCAAGCAAATGTGGTGTACGGTAAAATAGCGGAAGTGGATACTCTGCCGTATACGGTTGAATATCCCACTGTCTACAAAATAACAAACATACATCAAAGAAACTGAAATGCGAAATTAGCGCGATATACTACGATAATACTAGCGACACTTAACGGCAAAAATTAATTCTTTCGTGATCAAATAATTTTTTTATTATTTATTAGGTATATATTGCAGGTCGCTGCATTAATCTATTTTAATCGCGATTAAAAACCACTGTTATGATTGGCTGGAATTCAATCGCGCTTAAAATCTATTTTAATCGCGATTAAAAACCACTGTTCTGATTGGCTGGAATTTAATCGCGCTTAAAATCTATTTTAATCGCGATTAAAAACCACTGTTCTGATTGGCTGGAATTCAATCGCGCTTAAAATACATTTTAAGCGCGATTAAAATAGGTAGGTTTTGGCGGTAATGGCCTTCCATAAACCCGTGCCAAATTAGCACGCTTCAGAATTTTGTGTCTGTACGCTGCGATGTAGCTCGCGCCTAGCCCGGTCCTGGCCCGGACCAGTTTGACGTGGGATCAAATTTTGCAGCCTGTACGGAGTGTGAGGTATGCTATGACGTGAAATACGCGAGCGTCGCAATTGCGAGAAACAGTTGAAAACAGGTGAGTATCGTCGGTTAAACGGCGTTTTTTCCTGCCTTTCAGCGAACAAAGGACATATTTCTTGGCAGATATCAGAGCACCCTGAGCAATGTTAGGTAATGACGAAGAGTAATATAACTCAAAAGATAGGTTAATGCTGGAGCTGGTAAATGTTGCTGTTTTACGCATTCGAACTGGCGAACAACCGCCCCTGTCGATTTTAAAGGGCCTACCCCAATTTGCAAAAATTACAACTGGTGAGCCAAACGATTCTTTTACCACGATGGCCATGTCAACCACAGGCACTTGGAGCGTTTCAATAAAATATAATGCTAAATAAATACGAAATCTATTTACTACCAAAGTCTTAATGTTTCTATACTCTCTTTCACCTATTATTGCCGACAATTTCCTGTAAATGCCGTCCAAATGCTCATCTACAACAAACACTGCCTGCTGCCGCTGCACACTGACACTTAAATCTATTGTGGTCACAAGCTCTTGTGACTCTTCACAACTCTTTAAATTTATTACCTTTGTTAATTAATTTGTTGAACCAATATGATACCTTTAAAATGTAATTGTCAGGTGTAAATAAAGTGATTGAATTGCATTAAAATAAATTGAATTGGATAATGGATTTGAATGGCGGCCATTTTGAAATTCAAGATGGCGGGTTCCGACCGATAATGATTTTGATTGCAATGTGTTCCTTGACCACGATAATGTTGGTTTAGACACAAAGATCATGTTTCTATGTTGAATATTAGCTGAAATATTAAATGATAATAGATTTGAATGGCAGCCGTTTTAAAATTCAAGATGGCAGCCACCGACCGATAATTAATTAAGCAGTTTGATTGCAATGTGTTCCTTGACCCCGATAATGTTGGTTTAGACACAAAGATCATGTTTCTATGTTGAATATTAGCTGAAATATTAAATGATAATGGATTTGAGTGGCAGCCATTTTGAAATTCAAGATGGCGGCCACCGACCAATAATGATTTTGATTTCACTGGGTTTATTGACCCCGATAATGTTGGTTTAGACACAAAGATCATGTTTCTATGTTGAGTATTAGCTGAAATATTAAATGATAATGGATTTGAATGGCGGCCAACTTGAAATTCAAGATAGCGGTTTTTGACCGATAATGATTTTGATTGCAATGTGTTTCTTGACCCCGATAATGTTAGTTTAGGCACCAAGATCATGTTTCTATGTTGAATATTAGCTGAAAATGAAGGATAATTGATTTGAATGGTGGCCATCTTGGAAAATAGCCCTTCATTGTTGCCATGGGACAAATATGCGATGGCCCTATAGCCAAAAATCTTCCTTGGGGCATGCTCTAACCGTGTGCCAAAGCTCATGCTTGTATCATAAAAATCACAATTCCCTCAAATATTGCACATATCTGCCGGGCTAATACGCGGCACATTAAATTTAATACTCCATTGTGAAAAAAAAGGTTTTCATATTATTTGATTCGCAGGAAGGGAACCACGAGTTTCGCCAGGCGAATGCTTGTGAGCTAATGAGACTCCGAGACAAAAATAACGAAACATGTAATGTTCCATTTGTGGCGAACTAAAGTTTAATGTAGTCGGGATTTTATACATTGAACAGGTTAAGATTCGCCAAACGCGTTAAAACTCGAATAATTGATCTCGTTAACATTTCGTGGTTTTAGCGCGCTTCGTCATATTCCACAATTCGGGCATGGTTGCTCCCATCAGCAAATGAGTAGTAATTGCGTACTGAGCCTCACACGGTGTCCGCCTCACAGCACCGTACCTGGCAAACCGATCATTATTGCGCGGAACAACACCGACCCTCGCTGCTACCACGCCCGTGATAAAGGCATCTTCTACGGGAATCATAGCAGTACGCATGGCGGCTGCATGCAGGGCCTTAACAACATCCGCTGACATGAGGTAGCCAGCCCCGCCCACGTACGCCGGATAGTAGGGGGCGCTGTACAGTGAGCGCGACACTTGCCACTTTGAGCCCGGTGAGCGCACGACCTTAGATCCATGATTGATACACCCGATTAACGCACCCGTGCGCGCAGTGCTCCCTGTCAGCTTCAGTAGCGAGTCGACGTTGATGAATACGTCGTCGTCGGTTTTCAGCAGATAGGTGGCGTCCGGACACTGCGACGATGTCCATTGTAGCAAGAACAGCGTCTTCATGGTCAAGTTGCGATAGGTGTCGGCGAAGGCGCCCTGGATGACGTCACCGTGCGCGCGCGCCTCGATGGCGAGTCGTTGCCGAGTGACGTCCCTATCGCACGTTCCAAGCACGAACACGATGGTGACGTTGCTGTCGGCGACCGCAGCATTTTCTCCGCCTCCCCACGTCTCCCGTATCGCCCTCCGTCTTGTCGCGCCCGCAGCAGTCGCCGCCGATAACACTCCTATCACGATCGGCGGGCTGTTTTTTGCGCACACATCTGCACTAGTGAGTATGGGGATGACGTCGTTGACGATTTTACTGCTTGTCGGATGACGAGCGGGCGCTGGTTCCGTGTAAGTGTGTCCGATCGTATGTCGACAGAGGTCCATCCCATCATTACAGTAAACGTAAAACAATTTCAGACCGAGTATCCTCAAGCAGAGTAGCGTCGCCATTATTAGCAGTACTAATGATACTGTTCGTCGTCTTTGTGTTAGTAATCCGGCCAATGCCATCGTTTTCATATGCAACACACGCTAACATAAAGTTGTTAGCTTGTATTACTAACCAGCTGCGGGTTAGAATAGTGTCTGAAATATAGCATAGCTATTGTGACCTAACTTACCAATACCTTGCGCGTATGTGCAGGAGCGTATAGCTAACCCATTTTGCCGGGGGTGCGCAAAGCCACGTGGTGAACCGGATATTCGCGTATCGTATTTACCCAAGTATTGTATTCAGCAAACGGTGGCGACAGGATGCAATGCTTGGCATGTCGCACCTCATGCCAGTATTGAATTGACAAGCGGTGACAAACGGTGACCACGTCTTAATGTGACGCTTATAGCGTCAAGTAAAGCCCATCTACAATTTCTGGCTCATAAACGCGTCATTTTTTCCATATATCTGGTGTAAAAGTCTAGGTCGGTAAACGCGGAAACCAGTGTAGAGTCATAGTTGATCCATGGGTTACATTATGACAACCATGCACGAACTCAACTTGTCAAGATTTCTATTATTTCACTTTCAGCAGCCGCTTCAATCTTTTCTCTAAATCAAGCACATCAAATTGTCAATCTAATAGTGGCACACAAGTCCAGAACGCTTTATTTTCATTCTAACATTTCAGATAAATTATGCTAATATTCCTGTTCAGCAATTTATTGCTATTTATATAGTCGGCTAGAATATCTAATCACTATTGGAATTATTCGTGCTCAATCTGAATGCTTAATTCCTTGCTATTTTTCTTCTTATTCATGCGTTTTCACGTTTTATGAACCCAACTCGAGTATAATTTGCATCCAGCCATAAAATGAGACTGTACGGTACTTGCGTCAACTGTGGGTATAGCCCGCGTACAGTTGCCGCAGGCGTACTGCGTTAACGCTGCGGCAACTGTACGCGGGCTATAGTACTAGAGCTACTGTGGGTACTGCGCGGGAGCACAGGAACCTGGAGCGTTTCAATGATGGCAAATAATCACGAAACATAATTACTACCAAAGTCTCAACGTTAATCTATTCTCTTTCGCCTATTATTTGAAAGTTTCCTGTGATTGCAGTTCAGACGCTCTTCCATAATACACAATTATTTCACCTCACACACGCCACTTTGCACGAACTCTATTCTTTTGTGAGTTTGTGCACAGTGGCGTGCGTTACAAGGTGAAATTAAGTGTGTTGCAGAGGATGCATTTAAACGGCATTTACGTTGAATTATTAGTCGATAGAGAATATGCATACATAAACATTGCGACTTTGGTAGTAAATACATTTCGTGTTTATTTACAATCATTTTCAAATTTGTTATCGAAACGTGTCCAAGTGCCTGTGCGCGGGAGGAAGGGTCGGTTGCTAGTGCGACCTAGTGGCGTTATCAGGATCGTCTCCGCTTCTATCGGAAGCAATCCCCCCAAATATTTAACAACATAAACCACGCGATATCACTGCGACACTTGCTCCTGAACTTCTACAGTTCGCCACTGACTGCGAAAGTTGCCACTTAAAAGTTTTACAATGTAAAAGAAGTTTTTTACTATATACTACAATTCGTCTTACATAATTATTATCATACAGTAGGCCTACATAGAGAAATTCGGGAAGATTATGCGCCTTATAATGTAATTTGCCACGGTCGAAACACATGCACTTGGAACGTTTCAATAATAAAATGATGGTAAATAAACACGAAATGTATTTACTACCAAAGTCTTAATGTTTCTCTACTCTCTTTCGCCTATTATTACTGATAATTTCATGTAAATGCCGTGAAAATGCTCCTCTGTAGCCATAGAATGAATATAGGTATAGTCTCTATATAGGAGTCTCTATATATTTATATGTGAGCAACATATACAATACAAATGCACAGCGGCGTAGCCTACATGCGGTGTACTTGTAATTGTATAATACAATTACAAGTACACCGCATGTAGGCTACGCCGCTGTGCACAAACAACAAGAATATAGAGTCTAGATTTATATAGAGTAAGAAATTTTTATTTTGTGTAGCGGCATCCCGCCAAAATTCTTTTCCTATGCTAATGTACATTGGAATGGCGCTGGCGTCGCTGGTCGGGTTGCCAGCCAAGGTAATGTTTTTCGGCCAAGCTTACACGTTTAAAATGGTCAGGGGCGTACTAACTGGTGCTACTTGTAAGATGCAATAAGATGCTACTTGGCCTAACTGAACAATGCTATCCATACCTGTATACAATAATGATAGCCACCCTGTGTTGCGACAGACAATCCACTGGCTTTCATCTTCCACCTTGCTGAACACTGGCCAATTTCAATTCCATTTGCACCCATTGGGTGCTGTCCAGTGACAACTTGACCGCATGACTTTTGCCACCTACCATCACGATATACAGCATAAAATTAACGTATTAGAAAATCTTATTCCTTACTGCCACCTACCATTAGAATCAATATATAGCATTAATATCTTACAGCAAATTACATTTGTGTATGTTAATTATGGTGCGTTAACTGTATACTACGTATATCTATAGTATGAGCTGCAATTTTCATACCATACCATCTCATATTTCTGCAAGTCATCAATGTACATTTCCATAAAACACTGCTGCTCAGCCAATTAAGGGCTCTGGAATAATAACGCGTAGAGTAAGTGACATACTCTATAAAATCATGATCAGTGCTGTAACCAAACAATGCCTGCACCAAAAATATACACAATTTGTCGTTTTGGCATTCACACATTAAAAACTCCTCCAAAAATGGGTGAACTTGACTCACCTATGTCTATGCAATAAGATCTAAGACGGCATGATTATCTCGCTTCCGAATCGACGGATAGGTTAACACACGTGCTATTGGTAATTGCCTTAGTATAGCATGGCCAAGCACAATGTCTTACCAAATCCAGGTGGCAAAGTGGGGCATTGAGGTTTATCGCCTTCAAGCTTCACCTCTCTGTAAAGATCTTTCCATATGTCAGCTTCTGTATTCGTGACGAAACGGTGTGGGGCCGAGTGGCTTAGGCCCCCTAATTGGTAGAAGTCCGTACCAGTCTGTATACATTCGGAGGTACAAGATCCCCACAAGGACTACACCGAGACACACGACGCATCTCATTCTTGTGTTTATTTTGTACAGTATTATTATCTACACTACATACATGACATCTAATCCGGCGCAATCGAAGTATATGCTATTTCATCGTAATCGATATCTTGTAATTACTAGCATTCTAATTGTATTCAGGATGCCACGGATTTATGGATTTACGGAAATATAATTTAACGACGTATATTAATATAATTTAACACGTATTCAATGAATGAATCCACTTCGCGTTGAATAGCAAACGATCTATATCTGATAAAATCCATGGTCGGACATGGCGCAGACAAAAAACATTGACCTTGAGTTTCGGCGCCAACGATTTACATATAATAATGCTCTTGAATGTATGTGTGTGTGTTTGTGTGTGTGTGCGTGCGTGCGTGTGTGTGTGTGTGTGTG